CTTTCCCTGGATGGGGCAGGTTATGGGCTGGGAATGTTATACATGGAGTCTGGCTCATGAGTGGAAAGATAAGATTATTAATTAGTTTTGCCTGTTGTGTTGCTTGATACAAGGTCCATCCAAGACGTCAGGCTGGGCAGAGGAGAGTGGATGGGAAAGTGCCTCTTTACCTTCTCAGCAAGGACTGGGGCTCCCCTGGCAATGCTCTCTGGCCAGAGGTAGGCTGGCAGCCAGCAGAACTCTGCCTGTCCTCTCCATCAAGAGAAAGGACCATCTCTCATCCACATTATCCCACAATCAGGATTGACAGCCAGGGTACAAGGCAGGGATGACTCAGGTGCTGCGGTCTCTGTAATTCGGGCTTTGTGGACGCTACCAAAATAACTGTGGTAAAACCTTAGCTGTGCAGAAGGGCCCCTTCCCCACAACCAAGGGAGGTGTCTGCATGGTTAGAGGAGTGCAAGCAAGGGGCTGGAAGGATCTGTTCACCTAGCAGTAAACAGCAACACTCTCCATGGATTCATCCATCCTGAAATCCCACCATAGAGCTGCAGCAGGAAGTGGAGATGCTGCATCCCACATGCAACTCATGGCAAAGCATTCATTCTTCAGGAATGCTGGTTTTTTCTGGGCTGCTAGAGGAGGGAGACTATGCTCTTAAAAAAGAACTATTTCTTGGGAACCATTAATAACCACAAGCATTTGGGATCTGAGTTCTGCATTTCTTTTGGAGGGGGGGGGAGGAAAACAGCAGAAAGAACACCCAAACATGATGCGAAGGCAGTGACTGAGCACTGACTCAGCAGCTGGCCAGTGCCCCTCTGAATCATCCCCATGGCTGCCTGGAGCACCTCTGCTCAGCCTTGCTGGAGATCTCCCATCCTTGTGTAGGGCCAAGTGGGCCTTCTCTCAGCTTGCAGAGCAGCCTGACCCCAGCACATGCCTGCAAGTATCTTGGATGTAAAATATTATTTTGTTGCCCCCATGTCAAGCCCTCAGGCCAAGGCTGTGGTAGGTGTTTTGAATCCTTTGGTGGACAGCTTGTCATCTGCTTGTCTACACCTGCAGCAGGTTTGGTGGGGAGGTCTAGAGGGCTGCAGCCCTCTCAGCACTGCTTACTGGGGTGTGTGTGCTCTGTGCTACGTGGCAAAACTGCAGCAAATCCATTGCCCTGGCACAGGCCTGGGGTCCAGCTGGGTTGCACATAGAGCACCCCAAGTTCAACCTTTCTCCTCCCATGTCAGGCTGTAATTCCATAACTGCTGACCCTGCAGACAAAAACCCCGTCTTGACTCGAGTGTCTGAGGGTTATTTTTAGAGCAAGAAAACTGTACCTGGTGCTGAACGTGCAGGCTGAGTTCACTAAGAGGCTGTGGAAGCACTGAGTAATGCAGAGAGAGAGGGAGGGAGTGTGTGTTTCCCATGGCTGCCCCAGGATCCCACTGGGAAGGGTCCCTGGGCGAGCGCGCCAGGAGCTCCGGTTTCCAGCGCGGTGTGAGGGCAGGAGCCCAGGTTGGAACCCTGGGGTGGGCAGCCCAGCCAGGGGGTGGTGTCCCTCTGGCAGGCTGCCTGTGACAGACCTGCTCTGTTTCTGAGCCCGTCCCCAGTCTAGACTGCTCCAGCTGCCATCTTCCCCACAAGCAGTTTGTCTTGGAGCTCAGCTCCTTTCCGAGAGAACCGCTCCTTGCCAAGTCAATCAGTAGGTAGGGGAGAGAGAGAGAGGTGGTTGGGAAGGCTGATAAAATATGAAGTGCCTGTTTCCAGTCATTTTTTTGTACCAGAAAAGACTACTCGAGCTTGACAGGCTATGATAAATTAAAGAACACACAATGTGTTTGAGTGTCTCTTAATGAATGAGTCATATTAATAAAATACAATAAGAAGGGAGATCACACGCGCTGTGTAATTCATGGGAAACGTCTGAGCCTCACTCACACAGATGGATCATCAGGTTTTGTTAATTTAACCAAAACTATCCCCAAAGGGAAATCTTGCAGGCAAATGACTAAGCATTAGAAAACTCTATTTGTCTGAAACAAAGTTCATTTTGAAGAGCAGAAGTTGAAAGTCTGATCGAGATAAATGTGCTGCAAAGGTTGTAGGGGTGAATTGTATAAATACATACAGGTATTTTTGTAAATCTTTAAAAACAGGAAGTGAGTGAGAGAGTATGGGACCCCTTCTATTTCTTCACACCCTTTCAGACTTCCTTCCAAGGTCTGAGATTGCTTGAGAGTCTGAAGTGCCTCATGCAAGGACTGTTCCTGAGACGTCTCCATAGAAAAGCTGCTTTCATCAAGCTGAAATACTAATATTTTGCTCTGTATTGTGCTGCCACTCTGTGAGGAATCCAATTGTGGACAAGGACTTTTCCATGAGAGGTGTTGTACAGACCCAGAATAAACATCTGTGTCTCTCACGGAAGTCATTACAAGACTGGCTTCCCACCAGCACCTCCACTCCTGCCAGAATTATGAGGGCTTTTTCTTTTTAGACTGGTTGAAACACAGATGTGTCCAAATTTAATATGATAAGCCTGACTTGGAGAGGAAAGTAACCAAAGGGTTGGATCTTTTTTTTTCCCCTCAAAAGCATAGGTTTGTTTGTACTTCAAGCTGGGTTTTAGTTTGGGTCCTGTCTCTCAGTGCCTGGCAAGGACAGTGAGGTGAAGCAGTGTTGGCCTGGCCTTTGAGGGTGACGTCTTCTCCTCCTGTTCTCCTGAGCAGGGGATTTTTAATTCTGGTGCTGCCCCTGTTGATGCTGTGTCTCTGGTGCTTTCCAGATGTACAAAGCTGAGCAGTGGATTTGTGGAGCAGGTTTGCATGGGAAGTATGCCTCACCTTTTCCAGAAAGAGAACTCCTCCAGGTTCTCTGTCTGCAGGGGTAACCTCACTGCTCAGAACTTGATGCCAATGTGAGGAGAAGCTTTTGATGTATTTTCTGAATTCCCTTTTACCTTGAGTTTTACCACGTGCATTAGCATCTGAGAAGGAAGGATATTCTCCAGTCCTTGCAGTGTTCTGCACAATGCAGGATGCCCACCTCTGAGGTGCAACCATTTCTGTACCAAAGCTGCTGAGCAGGGACCCAGAACAGGGCAGGCAGCAGGACAGTGGAGACTATCAAATACAGATGTGTCAGTCTGTCAGTGTGCACTGGAATATGAGCTGAATTTTGTCCTGGGTAGTTGTCAGCTATTTGCTGCTAGACTGAGTGCTTCCCCCTGGGGAGAGGATTACAGGAATACTTTACTATCTGAGCAAGTTGGTTCTGTAGTCATTCAGAAGGAAGCAAATCATTTCCCACACCACCAGCACCAGTTCCTGCACCAATTGTACTTTCCTTGAAGCCCTCACCAAACAGGTTCAGCCTTGCTCAAGTGTTGAGATCTGAAGGCTCCCAGCAGCATCACTGGGGGCAGAGGAAGCAGTGTGAGGAGGGTCATGATGTGGGAGAGGCAGAGATCTAAGCTGCCAGGGAGAGGAAATGGTGAGATTTCTCCTGTCCTCAGGGTCCGATGTATTTCCTTTTCAGACAACTTAGCTTAAATTTCCATTTGCAATTTGAAGCTCAAAAAAACTAAAAGAAAAAAAAAAGTGCCCTTTGCACCAGAAAGTTTCCCAGCAGCAGCTTAGAATAAATCCTATAATCATTTGGTGGGATCAGTCATCTTTTTTAATGCTACCGTGGGAACCCGAGAAGGGTTAAACTTTTATGTGGCTGCCATGAGCTGCTTCACAGAACTGTTCAGGCTGGTTAACAATTCAGCTGTTTGGCTGGAGAAGAGAGGGTATCTGCTGCTGCCATGTTTCTCCTTGATCTCTGATTTTGCTTTGTGTGATAAAAGGGTGTGTTCTCTGCCATCAGCTTGCAGAAAGGAGCAGGCAGGAAGCCAGAGAGACAAGAACCACAGTGCCAGGAGCAGGAGCTGGCTGCAGCAGCCTGGCAGCTCTGCTGATCTCCTGGGGCATCCCTGCAACGGGGAGGACAGGAGCAGAAAAGTGATCTCTTCCTCCAGCTGCCAGGAAAAGGAAGACTTCCCACTGCTCCCTGGGGAATTCCCCAGGAATGCTCCAGAGGGTACCCCGGAAGGGCCACGCAGGCTCTGTGTGATCACGGGAACTCTTCCCTGCGTTAGGGCTGAGGGCTGAGGTGTCTCTGGTGGGGCTGTGTGGGCTTTGCCCCCAGGCAGAACCAGCAACTCCCTGTCTTGAGGCTCCCTGATAGAAGCCTCTTCCTCTCCTTGTCTGGGAGCCTTGCATTCTAAGTGGGACTGCATCCATCATCTGGAAGTAGCTGGGCCCTGATCCAGTCCTGCTCTTCTCTGGCTGCCTCTGCCAATGTGCATTTTTCTCCCTGTGTATTTCAGTGTTGCCCTCCCCAGGCAGAGCCTGTTGGCTGACCTGGGCCTCTTGGTGGGGAGCTGGGGCTGGGCAGCACAGACACATCTGTAGGGCAGAGGAGAAATGAGGCACTAGGACATGTCCCATCCAATCCACAACCAAGGAACCCATGTGGGAAGCCAGAAGGTGGCCTTGCACTGTTTCATGTTTCACAGCTCCCTGTGCTCATCTAATCCAGTCATCTCCCTTGTCTTGTTTGTAACTTGTATGTGCTCACACTCCTCCCTTATGTCATTACCATCATGGTTGGCAACTTTTAGCCACCCACCCCACAGTCTCCTTATTCCTATTACCCTTAACCAGAGGGGGGGAAAGGAAAGGCTGAAGGGAATGCAAACAAAACCAAAGCAAAGTGAAAGGGACTCCTGAATTGTCTGCTGCTCTTTCCGTGCTGCTCCAGCCAAATGTCTTTCCCTTAACTCTGTGTTCCCCCTCCTGTGTAGGTATTAACTCTCATTTTTATGTTAGCTTCAGTTTATTCTGAACAACCCATGTTTTTGGAGAAGATTTTTACTCAAGTGGCCAAGTACAATTGCAGCTGCTGTTAGCAGGAAGGTGGGAAAGGTCACCTCAATCCTGGTATGCTTGGAACGCAGCTCTCAGACAGTTGCACCTTCTCATTTACTTGTCCTTCTAGGGGTAAATGGGGATGGGTTTTGATGGAGAAGAGGTTAAGCACTTGAATTAATCTTTGGTAAACTCTATTAACTGTAATTGGATCCCTTGCATTGGAATCATGTTTTGATAGTTACCTTCCCTACTAAATGGGCAAGGGGATTTTTTTAATAAAAGCTTGGATTCTGGAGCACAATTATACATCAGGCTTAAAACACCCTACAATTATGTGTCTATTTGCACAGCTGTATAATTGCATTATGCATGGGGCCATGGGCTGGCACAATGGCAGGTTAAAATGCTGTGTGTCTTGCTAAAATGAGGGTCAGCTGGATCAATGTGGGTTGTTAATACAAGGACCAGTAATACTGTGTTAGGCAGCAACAAGCGACGTGCAAAGAGGTCAGATGAAGTGTCTCAGGCTATAGAGACTGGAAATCTCCAGGCCAGGCAGCAGTGTTGGGTAGCAGCAGTGAGTGATATGGTGGTACAAGACCCTCCCTGTGTGTCACTAGCTATTGTGTGCTCTGGGGGCTCTTACATCTGTAAAACAGGAATTTTCTTGTCATCTTTACTACAGACAGAAATAACTACAGAAAAAATATTGTTCGTTTGCTGGTCTGACAAATTAGTAGCACAGAGAGACCTACCCAGGACTTTGCTTACTCCTCCCCCTGATTTTTTTTCTGTCGTACCAAGTTTGGCTGCATCTTTTTTTAAAATGTCTCTTTTATACCAATTAATTTGCAGCTTTTGTATAGGAGGGTTGGTAATATTAGGGGAGTGTTTATTCCTCAGTTACCTATACGGCTCAGGCAGGTTGTCTCTCTTCAAAATCCTCTCCAGGGCACGAGATTTAAGGTAGGGATATCTAAGGCTTGTGACTAATTCACACACTGAGTAACTCCTGGAAACTCTGTTCAAGATCATGAACTTTTCACTCTTCCTCAGGGCCAGTAACACTGCAGAGCCTGAGCAGCCCTGCCTGGCAATCAGTCCTGCAGTAGCAACAGGGTCAGCCCTGCAGCTGCCTCTGCTCGGGGTGACCATACATGGGAGGTCCTCCAGAAATGACCCAGTGGGAAAGGAGCAGGGCTGTGCTGGGGCCAGAGTGTGGCTGTGGGGCTTGTGCTGCACCTGCTCCATGTGCTTCACCCATCTTGTCCCCATTGCTCCTGGGACCTGCTCTCCTGGCCACCACGCAGTTGGAGAGCTTAGGCTGCCTTCCAAACATCTTTCAGTCTGCTGCTCTGGATCTCTCTCTCCCCTAGATGCAATGAAAACTTGTCTTTTGTAACCAGCTACTAGAATATAAACCCTCTGAGAGACACTTTAATTAACAGTTATTCTTTTCAGACATGTTTGGCTTGGGGGAAAAGAAGTCTAGAGGAGTTATTAAGAGTTGCAAATGGCTCTCCAGAAATCTGAATTCTCCAGTCCATTGAAAAAATGAATAAATAAAGGGATACATTCAAAGGAGTTCAAACCTCATTGCTTAAGTATTTTTTCCTAACCTGTTTCAGATCAGTGCACAGCTGGGTGCCTGATACCTCTGCCTTGTTCTCACCCTCTTCCAAGAACCCAAATACTCTGACATGTATATGTTGACCTGTTCTATATTGCAGGGCTGCATTTAAGAATTTCCAACATTGACACAATTTTATTACACTTTCCATCACTCTGCTTTAAAATATGAAGTGCTGGGATGTGACTATGTTGCAACTCACACAGGAACCTACAGGATCAAGAACTGTGCTCCCTCAGCTGGTGTTGATCACAACCCAGAGTTCCTCCCTCGCCAAGGTGCTCACACATCAGTTCTGTTGTGTGTTTGCACGTAGCAGGAAACTCCAAAGCTGAGAGTCCGTTGTTATCCCTGTGTTACAGCCTGAGCCCAGGAAGCTGGAAGGGTGAAGCACAGCTGTGGTCACTGGGGCACCATCCCCAGCAGCAAGATGTGAAAGCTCAGGCTCTGCCCTGTGGAAATCCATGCTGCTGCAGTGTGTGCTTGGCTTCTGGCCCTGGGTGCTGCTGGCATAGGCTGAAGGGAAATTCTGGCCATGATCTTATAACTGGCCCTTCTCACCAGGTTCTTCTCCAAATGGTTGTGTCCTGGATCCCCCTGAGATCCTGTCAGGAGCCCCATCCTGTTACAGAACCATCACTAACTCCTGTTCTCATTTTTCTAGGGTCCACCGGGTCTGCCGGGCTTACCAGGACCACCTGGCAAGAGAGGTTCCCGAGTAAGTGGTTTAAGAATTTCTCTCTGTTTGTACTTGCATCTGCCTGTCCTGCTGCTCCAGGGGCTGGTGTATGGTGGTGTTATCTAATGCCCTACACTTAGGTCCCAAATCCTGTTGCTCTCCAGGCCTGGGCTGCAGGGAGTCCTGCAGATCTTTCAGGTTTTACTGCTGTAGAAAGAAGCTGCATTTATCTGTACTGGTCATTGCAAGATCTCCCAGGCCTGTGACAAGTGTCCTCAGGGAACACACAGCCTCCCAGCTCTTAGCCTCTTTCTTGTTCTTTAAAGACATTTCATGGGGTTGAGTTTTAGCCAAGTATGTGTGAGGAAATCTCCCTCTGCTGCCAGAGCAGGATGCTGCCTGGATCACAAATCCAAATATTCCCTCCTTCCAGCCCCAGACATTTGCATCTTTTGACTCCCAACCCACACCAGGTCAGTGCTCAAGAAACTGGCTCCATGATCATACCTTGTGGGGCAGCACCACCAGTGCAAGGACATGACAAGCTCTTCCACATCAGATGTGGCTCCACAGTCCTGATGTCTTCTCTTGACAAATACCTGAGCAGCAACCACATCAGCAAACTGCCCAGAGTTTCCAGTTCTCAGCAAGTCCCCAGTATGGCTGAAAGTGTCTTCTCACCCCAGCTCATAGCTCAGGAGAGATGTTTGATGTTACTTCTGCCATCCTTGGTGTGCAAACTAGACTCCATGTCTGGAGACCCCAGCTGCTACATCCAAGCTCCACTACCTACTAAAACTTGAGTTTTTCTGAAGAAAAAAGCATTGTGAAAGCCATGTCATAACTGTGTTGCTCCCCAGCTGTGGCAGGTTCCAGCCTGTGTTTAAGATGATCTTCTGAAAGACAATAAGCAACAGAGCATTTCTGAGTTCAGTCCCTGCCAGAGGTGCTGAGAATCAGCCCAGGAAAGAGTTCCCAGTTAGGAAGTGCTCAGCTGTGAGCCTGGCTTGGCTCAGGCCTCTGCAAAGAGGCTGTGCTAATTTTGGGAGGGGGCAAAAAGGTCACCCTGTAAATGTCTGGCCTGGAGCACTGGAGACAGAACTGCTCTGTGCAGAAGTTTTTTTTACTTTGTTTCTAGTATTATTTTTTTTCTTGTGGCTCTTCAGAGTTTACAGATTTCACTGCTAAGAAGAAGAGCTGCCAGGAGCTAAGATAGGCTGTGGGGAATTCTTGCATCTTTTGTTGTGCATGAGCCACTTAAAAAGAAATGTGCACCAGTGCAGGGGTCTTGTTCTACCTCCACCTAACCTGATCCTCAGACAAAGCAAATGCACACAGTTCTCATACCATCCCATGAGTTGTCCCATGAGGCTCCAGCCCAAGACAGGAGCTCCTGAGAGGAGGTGAATATTCCATGCAACTTTGCAGTGCTCAAGGCCAGAGGAAAGGAAGGATTTGATTCTTTTTCTTGACACCAATGCTGTTTATGGCCTAAAGCATGGGACATAATTGCCCTTTCTGTAGCTTGCATAATTTCTACATTATTAATTCTTTTACAATTACTTGTCTCATTTGAAAACATAGTGGCAGCATTTGACTCATGACCTTCTGCAGCTGTGAAGTCCATAAAGCAGTTCTTTTGCTGACGTAGCACAGTATTTCCCCTCCTTAGAATTCTCTGTTGTCTCTGTTTAATTTCCCTTTCTCTCCCCACATTGCTCAGGGTAAAATGAAGGTCTTGCTTCGAGGGTGAGATTGTGGTCTGTGAGAGTTTGTAAGGAAAGCTGGATGACCCCATGACTCCTTGCTTCCAGCAAGGAATTCCTTGCCAGCAGAGCCTGAATGTTGCTCTTCCATGAAAGATATGTCACCTGGTTCCCAATAACAAATGCTGGTCTTTGTAAAAACACAAGACAGGTTGTGCTCAGGACACATCTTGGCATTCAAGTGCAGCCAAGGTTGGGTAGCTGAGTGGGTAGGGGCAGGCTTCTTGAAAACAGACATTTCTCCATTTTGAAAGGCCAGGCCTCATTTTAAGAGCATGGAATTAATTTTGCACCCTTTACCCTGTAAATTTTACACTCAGGATCAGGGACCCATTGAGACAGACTCAGACTGCTCCTGTGCTCTGCCCACTGCAGCTACAAAGGCAGAGAAATATATATATATATATATATATATATATATATAAAAATATATATATATAAAAATCAAAGCTGTGTTTTTCTTCTGATTGGTGCTGAAGGGACTGCATGGGAAAGGAGTAAAGATGTTGCAGTTCTGATGACTGGAGATGCTGGCTAAGAGCAGTTCCTCAGGAATGTGTAGCTGTGCAGATCCAGAGTGCAAACCTGTCAGGATCTTGCTGCAGTGGTTGTGGACACTCGAGAGGAAAGTCTTCTCTGACTCCAGCCAGCTGGGATCATTTTCAGCTTTTATGCTGGCTTTAAAGAATTCGAGGCGTAAGCAAAGGTCTGTCCATCCTGCTTCTCCTCAAAGGAGTGTGTCATGTGCCTTGGCAAGTGTCTAAGGTCTGGGTGCCTGGAAGGTTTGGGGGTTCTGCTCTGAAGGGTTTCCCCAGTTTTGTGCAATGTGAAAGCCCTTTGCTGGGCATGGAGTGGGAGACCTTTTCCCCAGCTGTGGGTGGGTGGTGGCACTCAGGCCCATGCACAGCAACCCTCCCAGAACAGTTCTGTGCAAGCAAGGTGTGTTTCACTTCATTTCTGCAATGACCTTTTTACATTTCTTCAAGCAGGAAGGCTGAGTGGGGAGGCAGGGAGCAGGGCTGGGGTTTGCTCAGCAGAGCTGTGCTAACAGGCTCCACAAGGAACTGTCAGCAAAGTGCTCCCGGTGGAGCAATAACTTCTGCACCATTGTAGCTTGTTCCAGCCTCACCCAGGACTCCATCAGCTTCACTGTCTGCATGAGGAGCTTTTGCCAGCACATCTCTGCAGATCACAAATGGTGACTTGTTGCAGTTCTCACTGGGATAGCAAGACCAGCAAACTACCCATGATTTAACAGATCTGCATAAAAGTACTGACCAGTGTGATAATTGTTGTTCAGTGCTGCCTTCCAGACCGGTGCCATGTAGACCCTGGTCTCTGTCCCCCTCCTACATGAAGAGGACAGCAAGGCAACACAGCCAGGAGCCAGGGTGCTGGCTTCAACCCCAGGACAGCAAGAGAAGAGTGACAGGGACACTTTCCAAAATACTTAAATATTAGGAAACTCTGGAATAAGTTACCCAGGATGGTTGTTGATGCCCCCTCCCTGGAGGGGTTCAAGGGCAGGTTGGATGAGGCTTGTGCAGCCTGGTCTGGTGGGAGGTGTCCCTGCTGATGGCAGGGAGGTTGGAACCTGATGGTCTTTAAGGTCCCTTCCAACCTTCACCATTCTATGAATCTATGGAATCAAGGTCCCACTGGAAGTCAACCTCTTTCTCTAACAGGTGTGCAAAGTCAGGTACAAGGGGAGTGTTTTATCTATGTCTGCACAACAGGTCAGAGGCAGGAAGCAGGAACAAATATTCTGGCATCCTGCAACTGCTCTTGTTTTATCTAACTGCTCTGAAAAATCCAGGGAAAATCCAAATGGATTTTTGGAGAAAATACATCTGCACTCATTGCTGCTTTGGGATGCTCTTGTCATCCTCCTGTGAACCTTTGCAGCTTGAAAAATTGCCCCAGCTTAACATGTCCCTGTTACATTTGGGCTGTGGTTGCAAAAATTCTCCCTTTCCTTCCAAATGCAGGACTTCCCTCCTAAAACAAGCAGGAACTCAGTCAGCTGTGGAGGTTCCCCCATATCCTCCTGCCATGAGGAAGATTTTCCAATTTCTGAAAAGAAGTCTTTAAAGAAACAGTTTCTTTGGCTTCACTTCAAGCATTTAGCTCATTTTTCAGCAAGCCAGAGGTCAGAGCAGGATCTGTAGGTCAGGAGCAGAAAAAGTCACTTTACACAGTGAAACCCCAAGACACGAGGAGTGTTGAATGAGTGGTCATTGCTCTGACTGAAGCTTTCTAGCATTTAGCAGGAGTTTGGAGGATTTTTTTCCCCCCTCCTTGTGAATGTTGGAGGGGTGTGGGGGGGCTGTGCACAGTTACACTTTTGTTACTTGCTGTGGACTGTGGAGCAGGGCACATAAAAGCCCTTCTGTGAGCAGGGTCCCATCTCCAGGCGTGTCACCGAGATGGAACAGTTTGCTTCTCAAGCAGCATCTCTCACGTAAGAGTCATTCCAGGGACATGACAAGCCTGTCACCTCTAGGAAACCCCCCCTTTCATTTGGAGAACACATTCAGGGATTGTTGTGGTCCCCGTGCCACTGAGCCTTGGGCTACTGCTGCCCCATGGTAAAATTCCCCATGGAATTTCTGGTGTGAGGCTGGGAAGGAGTCAGATGCAGGTTTGCTTGCTCCTAGGTTGGGTTTTCCAGCAGTTATAAGGGAGCCAAAGTGGGTGGGCAAACAGGCACACATGGAAATAGTAACATGTGTATATGATTATTTTTTTTTGTTCAGTGGTCTCAGCATCATCTCATTCTGTGTGCAGGAAAGAGGAGCAAAACTCATGTCTCAGAAATCAAAATCTTTAGGATACTGACTTCTAGATGTGAGTGGGAAGTTGAATTAAATCCAGGATAGCACGGGCAAAAGACAACAGTTAACTGTAGGACTACAAAGCAATTAACTCCTGAACTGGTTTTCCATGGGAAGAGGGGTTCTTCTGGGAGAACTACTTGGAGATGGATCATTCTGCTGGTGCAGTAGAAGGGGAATGAATATTGGAATCCAAGGGTGGGGAGCCTGGGGGCATGATGAGTGTTCCTGGGGCCTGCAGGCTGGTGCAGGGATGAGTTTGCAAGGCCTGCCTGCTCAGATTTTGTGCTGCAAGCAGCTCCTGAGGCAGATGCTGTCCTGCACCTTCTGTTACTCAACCCATCTACCTGTACCACCTTCCTCCTCTGCCAAGAATGTGGGTGTAATCACAGATTCAGGACTAACCATGTTGGAACACATCAAGATCAGTTATTTTTTACCATTTTTAGGACTACTGCCAGACTACATCCTTTTCTCTCCACAGTTAGGAGAGCAGTTTAGTGCCTCTAGCACAAGCCCCAGACTTGGTTACAGCAGTTTCCTGTGTGTCAGACCAGACTTCCCACTGTCACTTCATCAGCAGGATGTGGCCAGTTCTCACTAGGATAAGACCACTTTGGTCTTTGGGAACAGGATGGGTTTCTGACCTCCCTTTGCCTGCATTACATGCTGTGAGTCTCATTGAATTCAGTGGTAAAGTCTCCATGTTATGTCAAGAGCCTGTGCTTTTCATAATCCTGTTTTGTCACTGGATAGTGGGGCTAGATTCTTTCTCCCTTCTTCCCTCCTTTTGGTTAAGGCCTTTTAGGATTGTGTTGCTGTGCTTTGGTTTAGCTCTGGAAGAACCTGCACCAGATTTTGCTGGAGGTGTGATCAGTTTTCTTATCCAGGAGCTTCTTACGTTCCAGGTTTCCTCCTGGAAACGATCCCTTTCAACAAAGTGTCTCACCAAACTGTGCAGTTTCCTCCAGTCTGACAGGGTTTTAAGGCTGTCCCAGGCAATGGTTGGGCAGGGTTTCAACCACCAGCACCAAGATGGGCTGTGAGCCAAGCTGCCTGCCTCCAAAGCTGATTAACAGCTGAATTCCCCCCTCAAAACCAGCAGCAGTCTGGATTTATGAACCCTACCTAGATTATTGCATACGTGTGAGAGCTTTTTAGGAACTCATCTCTTATAGAGACTTTGCTGTTCTGGTTTCTGTCACTTAATTTTCATGCATCTTTGAGACTTGAAAGACTTGGGTTGAAACACTTTTGCTGCCACAGACTTAAGTCCATGAAGCAGCACGTGAAGTCCCTGTTTCAGTGTCCCACCCAATGGGGTGAGCTGATGCTGCCACAGTTTGCTGGGAAGATGAATTTATTGAAGGCTACTCAGTCACCAGTTACTCTGGTTACAGCAGCTAAATGGGTTTTCAAATGACACTTGGAAACTCAAACTGCTCCATTGGAATTAAAGTTGTTTCACTTTCAGTGGAAATTCACAGCCAGGCTAAACTATAGGAGAATTTCAGGCTGAAAATTTGGAAGGAATTTAAGAATGGGACGTTAAATTTTTCTGGATTTTTAAAAAGTCATTTGAAAAGTTCAGCCTCAGCCTTTTAATTGAAGAGCCTCTCACAGCAGAGCAGTGTGTGCTGTGGAACAGCACTGAGCACTCAACAACTGCCTGCACCACAAGATACAATGGCTACATAAAAATTACTTTAAAAATTAAAAAGCCATTATTTTCTTTTAGAGTGTAGTAAAAATAAAACTGAAGAGACATCAGAGCCCACTGACATCCTGTCAAAAGAGAGTAAGGGCACTGAACTTGGGTGACAGTCACTTGTTTTACAGCAGTGATTGTGATTTTCTTTGGAAATCAGACCCTGAAGGTTTTGGCCCCACATGAAGAGCCTGTGGGCAGCACTGCAGCTTGCTGAGAAAGTGTCTGAGTGGCTTTTTACCCCCCAGCCTGTGCTCCTCCTAACCAGAGGGTATGTTAAAGTGCTCCTCATGATGATGTAAAGCTCCCACACAGTCTTGGCAGGACAGGAGCCTTTGGAATTGAATCTTCAGGTTGTTTCATCTCCCAGGAACGTGTTCAAGAGGACTTAGAATAGTTATTACTTCTGCCTGAAAGGTTAACAGATCTTCTGTGCTGTATACAGTCCTAGGACAAACTATTCTTAGCTGCTTCTTCCAGATAACTCCTTAAATAGTCTTTGGAAAATATGCAGGGTGGTTTAAAACATGATGCACAAAGAGATACTGCTGGATGTGATCTGAGGTAGAAATTCTGGCAGTGTCATTGGCTTGTGAGACATGTGCAAAAATAGAGATTTATAGCTGGTTTGAGCAGGGACTTACCTCTGCTCCCCTTGCCTTGCCATCCAGCCATCCATTCTCTTTCTGACCTCTAAAGGCAAAAATCTGGTTCCTGGGGAAATGAGTTCATCTCAAATAGCCCAACAATTTAAATTTCCCTTTAGCAATTAGTTGATTTCTCTTCCATTTTGGCCAAAATCCTTAACACCCTTCCATACACCTGCTCCTCTCTGCCCAACTCCAGCTCTCTCTGCTGGGGCTCCCTGCAGGACTTGGGCTGCCCTGACCCCAAAACAGCTTCTGTTCCAGGTTGTGGAATATTTGGTGTCACCAAATCATCTTGTCACGACTCACCTTGTGGTGACAGACACACGACACCTTCTGTGAAGGCAGGTGGGAACCAGCAGCACATTCAGTGCTCTGAAGGCATCACCAAGGGTCCCACTGAAGGCCTCTCCCACCAGCTCTGGCCACAGCACAGCCTGAGACCTTCTGCTCCTCCCAGGAGCAACGCAGATGCCTGCTGACACTATCATGATGGTTGGAAAAGACCTTTAAGATCATCGAGTCCAACCACTGCTGACTTCTTCTGACTCTTTGTTTCTTGTGTTTTTTTAGGGTCCCCCAGGTCCCCACGGAAACCCTGGCTCACCTGGCCCCCCAGGCATGAAAGTAAGTATGAGCTGGGGTTGCTCCTGCCTTCCTGCTGCAGGGGACAGCACAGGAGGGAAGTGCTGACTTCATCCTGCTCTGTGCAAAATGACAAGTAGTTGAAGCAGTTTCTCCCCAGCCCTCTGCCCAGGAAGCACAACCAAACCTTCTCCTGTGCTTGTGACAGACCCTGACGTGTGTTTCGGCTCTTGGTTCTTGCTAATTTCAAAGATTGCCTAATTAGCACGCTGCTTAAGCCGTGCCTGTGCCAGGGAGCAAACTGCTCTGTTGAGATGAGGACAGTGGATTCCCCTCTCCCCAGAGCCCCCCCAGTGTCCAGGTTTCTTTCCTTTTTAATTTCTCTGCACTTTGCAGCCCACTCATCCAGCTTTGGGTGCAGGTGGGAGGTGGGGGGACTGGCAGCACCCAAATTTCATTCCTTGTGTCTCCTTCCCTACCCAGTGCTTCTGGGAACCCTGACCTCCCTCCCTCAGTCCTCCCACACTGATCCCTTTGCTTCCTTCTACACATCCTTCCCTCTCCCATGAGATCCCACAGGCAGCTCCTGAGTGTCAGGAGCCCCACGTTTTGTCCTTTCCTCCCGTACCCAGATGATCCCCAGGGAGCTGCAGCTGGGTGGGAGCTGGAGCTCTGCCAAGTTGGAGAAACCCCCCCAGCTGGCCCTCCTCCTTTTGCCTGAGACTTCAGCACAGATGCTGAAGATGTTTCAGAAAGATGTTTTCATTCCCAGCTTGTACCTGTGCCCAAGGCTTTGAAGTCTGGGATGTTCCTGGGAAACTGCTCTGGATTGTTTCGGTGTCGTTGTTTACATGGAAATAGATTTAGGTTTATAACACCTACCTGGGACTGAAGAATAGCTGAGTTTTGACAGGCAATGCTTGAGAGAGGTTTTCCCTACCAAGGAAGCTGTAGGATGTGTCAGCCAAACCTAGAGAAAGTTCCAAGCCAGAGCCCTTCCTTTTCATGATCTCATCAGTAGGCAGAGATGTTCTGAACACTATCGATGCTCTGGGAGAAAGATTGTGGAAACTTGGCATGTTGCCTCTCCCTGATTAAAAATTAGGCACTGGAGCCATGCTGGTGAGCAGCAGCTGGTTTGCATTCTGAAGTGTAGTTACATGGCCCGAAAAGTGAGGCTGTAAAAGATCTGCATCTTAGTTTTCTGCATTTATCCTCCATCGATGCCTCCAGAGACACTTGGTGAGTTTGAGAAGTCCAATCAAAGTTCTTTTATTTATCTTCCAGTCCTGCAAATTTAGCCTCATCCAATCTGTAGAGTCAAACTGCATTTCTATGCTATAAGACTCTTCTTTAAAAAACAAACAAACAAAAACAAACCCAAACAAACAAAAAGCCAAACCCAAACCAAACAAACAAAAAAACCCAAAACAAATTGTAAGAGGCTTGTACTCCTCTAAGTCATTATTGCACTGAGCAGATGGCAGGAGGTAGGAAGAGCAGAGGGCTCTACCTGCTGCAGTAAATTAATTTTGCAGAGTAGAAATTAATACCCTGCTACCATGAGGGCTGCTCTGATCTGTTCCAAGCAGTTGTAGCACCATTGACTGCTCTGAAGCTCAAAGAGTGGAAGAATTGCCCTGATAACAGCTGCATGCAAAGCAAGATTATCTGCATGACTTCATTTACTGTTTGGAAACCAGGCAGCCTTCATTCAGAACTTGCAGAGATGCAGCTGATTGAATCAGCAGTGCTCCCTACAGTCCACAGCCCAGTAATCTCACTCCCTGAACCCTGCAGCTTGTGATGGGTGGTGGAGAAGGGAGATCTACATTCTGTGCGAGGTGGGAAGTGCATGTTGAGTGGAGCTGCAGTGAGGCTGCATGGAAAGCTGCTCAGCTGGCTGGGACTAGACTTTTGTGCTGCTATTATCACTCTTTTGTAGGGTCTCACCTTCCCTCCAAGCACTTCATTTGGCAAGCACTAATTAATCCTCACAACTGTCCTGTGCTTGGTGGCTGGTTTTGAATCTTGAGCTGCTGATGTAGCACACAGAGGTTGTGACTTCTTTATGATCCCAGGGGTGTTAGTGGCCAGTGCCTGACACTGGGATACCTGTGTCCTACCTGCAGAGATACTATACAGACCTGAGCTGCTCTGTGTGCTCAGCCTTTCCTCTTCCCTGCCAAAAGAATGTGACACACTTCAAATCTCTCCTAGTTTTTTCCCATTTCTACCTCCTACCGTGTTAGGTGCACACATCTCCTCTCCACCTTTTAGGAATCTAAGCTAGGATTTTCAAAGGTATCTACTGGAATTAAATGAACAAATGCTGCTGAAATCCCAGCCTGTGCTCGTCAGAAGATCACAGTCTTAAATTGTAATTTTTCTTGTCATGGTTGTTAAAGAGGAAAATAAAGAATACTGCCACTTAAGACCCAGTGTGCCTCTCTCCCCTGCCAGCCTGGAAGCCTCACAATTGCTCTGGCTGCTGGTAGTGTCTAATTAGTGTAACTTTCTCTGCAGTTTCATCAGTTCCCCACAGTTAAAAAAGCAAGAGCAACTAGCAAGTTGTTAAGAAGGATGGTTTAGCTACGGTAATAGGCTTGGTAATTATTTTTGTGATGGTAGCTGTAGACAAGGAAGAAATCACAGCTGTCTAGTCTAATAAGTATCAAAAGTCCTGACATTGCCTTCTTCCAGTTGTCCTTTCTTTAGTCAATTTAATACTGTCAAATACTATTTCAAACTCAATGCTTTAACAGCAGCAATCACTCCCCAAAACCAGCCCCAGCAAGACAGCTAAACCCAGGGACTTCACACGTTTGAGATGTTGGGGCAAGATGGAGATAAAACAAAATGCTTTTCTAATTTGGAAGTTTGGTGCAAGCTGAACCACATCTGTGGGCTGGGTCCTTGGAGTATGTCATTAATTTCAGTGTTTTGTTTCAGGGTCAGAAAGGTGATCCTGGGCTGTCGCCTGGAAAAGCTCGCAATGGCCAGAAGGTAAGAGGTTGCCCAGAGTGCACAGGCACCAGGAAACCCCAGTGTGCTTGAACCCTGTGCAGACACATGCAGGGAGTCCCTGCTGCAGCCCCAAGCACCACAGCTACTCACTAGACTTGGGACTGAGGCCTTTCCACCAAAGGCTTCTCAAATCAACACAACTGGGAAGTGTAACTGGTTTCTGGATTTAGCAACTGTTAAGACTCAGAGTTCTGCTCATTCTTTTCCAGAAATTACAGCTCCTATTTTTGCTGTTTCACAGCTGAACGATTTTTACTGAGGCAACAAGGCCTCACAGAAGTCTAGAAATGAATAGTAAAGCAATCAGGGCTCCACAACTTCTACCTCAATTAATTCTTTCAGCTGTGCCTGCACAATACTTCATAACTCATGTCCAGGGCAAGACGCCTGGTCCTCTTCCTTTCACCATAACTATAAATGCACAGCTAATAGAAAGCATCAGTCACGAAAAACTTAGACCATTCATTTGAGACCAGATGCCTCCACCAAGCCCAGCAAGCCACACAAATGCAAGATGGAGGGTGACTCTTGGCAACAGTGAGAAGGCAAAGTCTGAAATGATGCTTTTAGCTTAACAGCGCGAGATGCCTTTTGAAATTTCTGGTGCACTAGATCAGAATGGCATCACATGGAAACCATTCACCCCAGAGTCTGGAACCATTTTCTTGCAAGCAGGCTCAGTGTAAGAAAGGGAGAGATCCAGATCACTTTTAGCTCATGTTAACAAGGCTTTATTCCTGTTAGCAGTAATAGAAACAAGGAGTTTCCAGCAGGAGTCTGGAGTGATGCCTAATTTTCAAGCTAGATACTCCCAATGCTTTTTCAGGAAGCAGGCTCAGCTCAGTGTTAAGGACTCAAAAGGGGGTTTTGATCCTGATCAGAGAAGGCCAAAATGGGCTTGTACAAATGGATTGGGTGTCAGAGAGGTCTCACAGCAGTGTGCTTTTCCATTCCTATGATGACTTGGGTATGCCAGCTGGGATGGGATGAATTCCCTTTTCAAAAGTACAAGCCACTGAAAAAAACCCACCAGCAGCATCCTGTGAAGTTTCAACCCATGTCATGCACCAGGTAAAATAATTCTACCATCAGTACCATCTGAACTGGAGCTGTGGGCTGAGCCAGTGCAGTAGCAGAGTGGGAGCACAATTGCTGGGTTTGGCAGGAGGTACCTGTTGTTCTTGTTGCAAATGAAAACTGAAATTTTCTTTCCAGGATGAATCAGATGCCTATCAAAAGGCAAATGAAATGCATAACTGAATGAGATCACTCTAAAAAAAAGCATTCATTCTGCTGGCAAAAAGCTGGACTCCAGCAGCAGCTGCCATTGATTAACTGGGTTTATAATTTATATGAGCCAGTTAATAGAGATGATGTCTAAATCTGCACTTCTCATCCAGTCAGTTTTTGGAGAGTTGCAATGAGAAGCAGAAATACCAATAGTTGGGGGCTACTGTCAGCAAAATAGCTTCAGTAACAGTCCACTAGGCACAGGGAAAACATTGCTGGAAATTAATTCAGCTTTCCTGATTCCTGCAGGGAGACGTGGGCTTACCTGGTTTGACTGGGTTCTCTGGACCTCCTGGTAGAAAGGTAGGAGCATGTTCTTGTCTGGTGAATTAGATTACTCCTTTTTTTTTTTCCCCCCTTTTAATTTTAAAATAATGTAATGAATTCCTCGTACCCAGGATACATAGGAACAGAGCACAAGATCCACCCCTGCCTTACATTGCAGCAGTGTGTGCTTGCATTCCTGTGGGCAAGTCTGCACAGGGATTCCTTAGCAACCCATGCCCAGAGCTCACATCCTTCGTATATCAAGGATGCTTCAGTTGACCTTCCAGTTCCAGGCTGTGTTGGCATGTTGGTTTCATTCTTTGGAAGCTGGACCCTGCTGCAGGGAGCTGTTTGATAGCTGGGCTCAGCAGCAGTGACTGCTCTGACACAGCAAAGGGGAGCAGTTAAAATTAGCATCTTGTTTCAATCACTTCATCAGTCAATGGGCCATTGAAGATCTACTGGTCCTCAGGCCAATTAGCTGCACACAAACACCTACTCAGCTATGCTTTAAGACTCTGGGGAGAGAAAGAAAGTGTGGAGGAGGCAGAAAGAAACCCTCCCTCCCCATGATTGTTTGCTTGTATGCTTTATATTGGAACCAATTTGCCAAGAGTAGGGCTTGGGTTCATTTTTCTTCTCCCAGGGCTGGTCATACTTGAGGTGCTGTGTGGACCAGGAGCAGTGATTAATTACTGATCTTTTGCTGTCACAAACAAGTTCTAACAAATAGGGTGCAAAGAATACAACTTTCCTGGTATAACAGCTCATAAAACAGAACCTTGTGGTTACGATCAGCAAAATGCAATGTCAGGAGTGCAAGGACTCGTAGTGGAAAAAGTGGAGAAGGAACAGAAGACTGAACAAACATTCCTGCATCCAGCACATGGCCTTCACATCTGATTTCAGCTCCCCCAGGACAGGGCAAAGGCAGGGGTATGCTTCTGTTTCTTAAAGTAATGAGCAAGTTGGATGCTGAAATTTTTCCTTTGGTGCAGCTTAAAAAAAAACCAACAACCCAACAACCTCCCAGTAGCACTAGTCTGGCAGTGGTTTTGGCATAACCTGGCTCTTATTAGCATCCTGCATGAAGAAAAAAACTTACAGCTGTTGGAGAAATGTTTGGAAAAAAATCTTTTTTTATCTGGATTCCCTGCTGGCTTTCTCCCAGGGAAAACATGCTGGTGTTTGGCTGAGGACAGGCAACACATCTTGGCTACCAGAAAACAGCAACGCCTTGGAAATGGACATCCCTCCAGCTCCCTGCATGGAGGGGCTGTGGAAAGAGCTCTCAGGGCTTTGGCCTGAAAATGCCATGTAGGAGCTTTCAAACAGGCAAAATATTTCACCGAGGGAAAGAAAATTTCCCCCTCAGTGAAACAACTGGCTCAGCAGCCTGAGCTGGAGCCACAACTGGGCAGCAACTGGGTCTGGGTGGTGCAGCCCCCGCTCGTCGTAGGGCTGGGGAGTCTGAGCTCAGAGCACCCCAAAGTCACTTTGCCCACGTTCATCTAAGAGGGGATGAAGCTGCCTAGTGGGTGGGTGTGATTCTCATCCTCTCCAACCAGGGCAAATGTGGCTTTTGCTGGGGAGCAGAGGCAGGACCTGGCTGCCCCACCAGTCCCTCTGCAGCCTGGGAGGTGTCTGTGGGCTTGGGCTTTGGTCTGGGGGCTGCAGGCTCTGCAGTTCCAGCTCAGCAGGGCACTGCATCCCTGCTCCCAGCCTCAGCTGCTGTGCAGGAGAAAACGGTTGTAGGAAAGTGCCAGAGTGGAGAAGACAGCAGCAGTGAGGGGGGGAAAAGCTTGGTTAGAGTCACTCAGAGAGCAGAGACAGAGTTGGGAATTGGTCAGTGCCCCCAAACACATCCTGTCACACAAATCTCCTTCACTGGCCTCTTTGCATTTCCTATCAAAGTGCAGGATGATCCTTTTTAGCCAGGAGAGCGTGAATTATAAATACCATCACAGATGAGTAAATCCTTCTCTGGAGTGCAATTTCCTTTCTAAATCACAGGCCTTTGTGTTGAGCACCCTGTAATCGTCAGGAAGCATTTGGATAAAAGAGCAAAAGCAGTTGTTTTCATACCCTCTGCCCTGTCATTTTAGTGCTATTTGAAGAGGATTTTAGCAGGTAAATACTTCCACATTGCAGCTGACTTTAGCATACACAAGCCTTTCTGGTTTTTCCTCACTATAATTAACCTGAGACAGAAATAACTGCAGGATACCTTAAAAAACACATCCTGGGAGCTTCCCAGAGCTCATTGTATGTAGTGAGGAGGATATTTAATAGGATTCAACAGTAGTAGAGTGTAGTCATTGTATGTAGTGAGGAGGATATTTAATAGCATTCAACAGTAGTAGAGTGTCTATGTGTTTAAGTGCTGTTCACTTACCATTATAGGGATAACAACACAGCACTTGGTACAGGTTTTAGCTCAGGATGTGCTTTGAGCACCTCAAGGAGATACCACCTGCTCTGGGTGGACATCAGGCTGGCAATGCTGCAGGAGGCAGTCAGAGCAGAATGATTTGGAGCAGCCAAGCTAGGCACCTCTTCATCAGTGGAGGGAGCAAAATCTCTCTGAGTGTGTGTATCCAGGGAAGTAGGTGTTCCAGCTGTCTGGAGACAAAGGTAGTTCCTGCTCCAGGCTGTGGTTGTGCAGAGACCTGAGGAAGAAACTCCATGGACTCCATGTTAAATCCCAGGGCATGTCTGGAGATGCTGAACCCAGGGCTGTTTCAGTTGGCAGCTCTCTCTGGAAGAGGTGAGGAGGGGGCAGAACAGATGGTCTCTGTCTGCACAACACCCTGCTGGTCTGAGCTCCAGGGACGGGTGATACCAGCACAGGGCCTTCCAGACCTGGGTGTGTCTGGATCTTTACAAAACACTTTCACCTTCAGGTCAGACATCCAGCCAGAGTGGAGCATCCTCCTCCTTTCTGCTGACTCTGAGCCTCTGTCTAGGAGCCAGGGAAAGGATCTCATGGAGCAGATTCCTGGAGAGAGGCAGGGAGGCCCCAGCTGCTGGTCCTGCTCCAAGAGCTGCTGAGGCAGTTCCAGTTAAGAGCCACTGGCTGAACTGCCCCAGCAGAGTTTAGAAAAGTACCTTCTATGTGGTTGAGATAAGGGCCAGGAGGCAGCTAAATGGTCTTTCAGGTCACCCACCACCTTCTCAGGGGTTACAGCTCAGTCAAGAGAACAGGCTGAGAAACATCAGCAAGGTCAAGCAGGAAAGGATCAGTGAAAAGGGAACCAACATTTTTCCAGGTCAAAATGTCTGAAATAATGAGCAAGAAGAAATGCAAAGGGCAGTGGGTGGTAGCCAGGGTGGCTGAGAGCATTGCATCCCCCTGCCAGCCAAGGCTGAGGCTGCAGGTCTAGGATAGCCCCTGGGAAGAAGAAAACAACCACTAAGCAGAGGTGTGGAGCTGGGAGCAGGTCTGGGCTCCTCTGCAAAGGGCCAAGTTCTCAGCCAACCCAGGGCTGGGTTCTGGCTTCCAGAGCAGGGGCTGCTGCTCCCTGGGTTTCACAGACAAGCAGAGCCAGCCAGGAGCCCTGGCTGGGGACGAGGTGACTCTCAGAGACTGAGCTACAATTTGCAATTGTATCTCACCCTGAAAGCATTTAGTTATTTCTGTAGTATTTGTGCAAGGATGGTTTCTTCTTTATTTTCTCTACTCCATTTGTTTCCAGTTACGTTTTCTGCCTTTTTTTTTTTCTTTTTTTTTTTTTTTAAGTCTTGCTGGTGGCTCAGCTAAACAGTCATCTCTGTAACTGAATTTAATCTTCTAATCTGCTCTGAATCCACTTGATAGAAATGAGTTTGTTTTAAATAGCTGAAGCAAAATAATAAAAGAAAGGGGGGGGGGGGGGGGGAAATTCTGAAGTGCCTGCCACTTGCACGATTTACTCAGTGTTTGAAGAGAGCTCCAGGTAAATCCTGGAGAAAGCAAACTCTTAACACACACACACACACTGATCAGTCTGCAGTTGAACAGGCTGCCTTTGTCCTGCTCCAGTGTCTGCACCTCAAAAAAAACCACCACCACCACAACAACAACAAAAACCAACACAAAAAAAAACAAACAACCCAAAACCAAACCAACAAACAAAAAGCCTGAAAAATTGAAGCAGGTTTATAAAAGACCTGTGGGAGTTATTTGAAGCCTGCAACACTCGTTAGCTAGCAAGCTGGATTAAGAAACTCACTCTGATGAATTTAGAAGAGCACAGGTTAAAAGACTTCTCACTGGTTTAGTGAAGGACTCTGAATCTTTTCTTACCTTGTAGTAATTAGATTAGAAAAGCTAGAAGCTAAAGTCATGCTAGACACAAAATGGCAGATTCCCATGACAGTAGATGGTTATTTTGGTGATTCCTCTGGCATTTCAAGCCTGAAATTGAAATGTGACCCATGTTGCAGTCCCCAAATTTGCCCAAAGCCAACATTTGACCTCACAAGCCTGTGGTTTCCTAAGGATTAAGGAGAGTTTTGCTGAAGGTGTAGATTACAAATAGACAGATCTGAGAGTAGATTGAACTCTAAGTCTGTTCACAGAGCAAATCCTTCTCAAGGAACCATCAGGCCAGACCCCAGAGGGCACAGGCTGCTCCTTCTGCACAGTGTTGTAGCAGCCTGGGGACATCAGCAGGGTTTGGGTGATGCAAGGACAGAGCAGCACCTTAAATCTTTGTGTTTAGTGCTATCCCAGACCTAAAAACCTGATTCTCCTCAGAATTGGACTCCCATCTGCAAAGAGATATTCAAATCAAAATTATATTTTAAAAAAAGTATTATTTTTATTATTATTATTAATCTCTTTCTTCCTATTTCAACAGGGGTATAAAGGCTACCCTGGACCACCAGGTCATCCTGGAGACCAGGTGAGTCTTCCGAGTTTCCAACATGGAACCTCTAAGGAGGGATGGATTTGCTTTCTCTGAGGCTGCTTTGGCTCCTGCACAACCTGCTCAGTGTGCACAGCCAGGTCCTGCCAGGGGCAGCCTGGGATGTGCTGTGAGCTCCTGTCCTGCTGGAGCTGGGCACATACACTGACCCAGCAGCAGCAGGTTTCTGGGAGGAGGCTGCCTTGGGCTTTCTAAAGTTCATTTCTAATTTTTGTTGATCAACCATGTTACATTTACAGAGTGGAAAAAAAAACAACTTACCTTACTCCCCCTTTATTTTCCCTTTTGCATTCTTTTCACCTGCAGTTTACTAACCACATCTTATGCAGTACTAACATATCATTCCCCTCCCAAAGCCTATTCTCCTTCTCCCCTTCCCCCCCCCCCTCTTTATTTGGTTAAGTCTGATGTTTGCATTTCAGGGGAGAAAAAAAAAAAAAAGGCAATGAATAGCAGGCCCTGTTAGCAATGATGTTAAAGGATATTATACATGAATCCATTTAGTTTTGAAGAATTTTGGCAGTGCTTCCCAGCCAGTAAAACAGTTCCATATGCCAGATATAGACGCAGTCTTACACCTTCTCTAAGCCTCCTTGTTTCAAACTATCTGCTGCTTTCCCTGCAGATGGAGAGAGAAGGAGAAATGGCAACACTTAATGCCCAGATCCTATTGACTTGGCTTCAATGTTTTCCCTTTGTTACTTTATTTCACTGTCTACCCTTAATATTTTCTTCCTCTCTACATTTGTATCGGGTTAATCCACCTTCCTTTCCCCCCAGCTCAAAGAATGAAGCAGCTGAAAAGGCTTCCCAAGTGTGACACTCACCCCCTGTGCCTTTTCTTTCTTCTTTCCAAAGGGTGAACGAGGACCAGCTGGAAGTCCTGGTGCCAAAGGTTATCCTGGCAGGCAGGTGCAGTAAATCTCATCGTGCTGTGCACAGACTAGGGATTTGGGTGTGCAGGTAGCTAAACACATGCCCTGCTAAAGACGTGTCCCACTAAAAGCAGTGCAGACCTCTAGAATGTGTCTGAATAATTTCCCTCTTCCCAAGATGCTGTATCAATGACACATCCTTTTAACTCTGGGCAACACTAAGGTTGTTAGAAACTTGTATTTTGTGCCTGTGATGGCTAAAATATCAATTTCTACAGCAAAGTCTGACAAGTATTTACTTCAGTACAACAACAAAAGAGAGAGAGGGGAAGAGCAGTGCAGAGAGATAAACCTGCAAGTTGCTAACCCTTCATTTTTTAGGCACATTTTATATCTAAAATGGTTAGAAACAGGAGGCAGGACACTGTCAAAAGAGAGGATTTAGAGGAACTCTCACTAGTAAAATTCACTGACAAAATCATATATATACATAAACAATTCTACATGGACCATAACTATATATAAATCATATTTGCAACTAGGGGGGGAAAAAATGTATTATGAAAGAAAATCAAGTCTTTGTTCTCATTCTGAAGAAATTGCACAAAGTCAACTCCAGGAATGGAGGAGTGTGCAAAGGAAAATGGATTAAGATTGGACACTGTTCTCTTACTGATATAAGATGTTGAGTAGTAAGAAGAAAGCTAAGAGGAAGAATTTGTAGGACTCTAAATGGAATCTGTTCAAGGACAGAAGACCTGGCCCTGTAACATTTCACAGTGAATGAGTTTGTCATGGTTTTCTCAAATGGACACATTCATGTTGGATTCTGCCACAAAAGTCTATAGCTAAGCAGCCAGGCTGATGTCAAAATCCTAAGCAGCCTCTCAGGAGTTCATATGTGAGGTTTTACACAGATGTGCAGGTTGTTGGACAAGATGTGAACTAGCTGTGCAGAACAAGGCTGCAAACCCCTGCCTCAGACTATCACCAGTGTATGATTACAGTGAAAATTAGAGTTACACCTTGCTTGACAAATGGTGGGTGGAGTCTAGAGATGCACACCAGAGAGTGCAGGTGGTAGAACTGGATGAGGGTTTTCTGCACCTGACTAAATGCTCCATTCAGGCTTTGAAAGGCTTTTGGAGATTTGCATTCCATAGGATCTCCTAGATGGGAATGTATGACACACAGGGAGTGGTGGGAGCTCTGATGGTCCTACAAGGTTAATGAGTGCTGTTCCCAGCATGTTCCAGCCATCAGATAAGCGGGGTGAAATCTTTGCACTTGACAAAGAAGAACAAAAGTGCTTTCTTAAAATGTGTTTTGGGTCAAGAAAGTGACTTTTTTTTTTTTTTTTTTTTTTTTTTTTTTTTTTAAGGCAGCTTTTTTCCTATCTGAATGCTGTGTCTATCCAGAGTCTGAGCTGTTTACTTTACTGAGATTTTACTACTTGTTACTCCTGTCAGCTGTGCTGGCTCTGCAGTGCTCTGGGAGAGAGAGCTTGGCTCTGTTTGGATTTGCTCATCACAGGCAGGATTGTGAACTTCACCCCGATGGCTGAAATCTTTGGCAATGATGCACAAGCCAGGAAAGAGCACAACCTGACTTTCAGATCCCAGGCTGAGTGTGCAGTGCTGCCAGCCAAAAAGCAAAATAAAAATTTTAAAAAATGGACTAAGCCTTCTTTTTTTTTCTTTTTTCTTTTTTTTTTTTTCTTTCCTTTTCCAAAAAAGCCCAACAACATTTGGAACTAGGGAAAAAAAAAAAATTATCTGGAAACTTAATAGAATCATAGAATTGCAGAGTGGTTAAGGCTGAAGGAAACTTAAAAGATCTTCAGGTTCCAACCTCCCCTGCCATGAGCAGGGACACCTCCCACCAGACCAGGCTGCACAAGCCTCATCCAACCTGCCCTTGAACATCTCCAGGGAGGGGGAACCTACTTGCTAGAAGACAAAAAGAGGTGACACAAACTTGCTAGAAAGCAAACCCCATTAAAATCAATTATGTGCTTTTGCAGGGTTGGATTTTTTCCACAGGACTTGCAGTGAGCAGCAACAGACACAGCAGTAGAGTGGGGAATGTATTGTCAGTTCTTTCCACAGCTGTTGATGCTGCAAAGGGATGGAGGTTTTGCAGTGTGCTTTCTAGAATGTAGAAATTTGAGGGACTTTCTCAGTGTGTGTTGCCTAAACAGGTATGGAAATGGCTTTGTCATTTGCTGTTCCTGTGGTCAGCTAGGCAGGAAAAGGAGGAGAGCTCTGGGGTACGAGGGCATCACTGCCCGCCACGTGCCGCGGCCTCTGCGCTCCCTGCTGCAGGAGCCTTTTTGGTCTTTATGGTCAGAAATCTCTCCCTCAGCCCTGGGGAAGGCTCCCTCCGAGCAGCAGTCTCAGGTTCTGCAGAGTCCCAGCTCCCCAACAATGGGACATTTGTGATTTGTATCATTTTTCTCCTTGGTTGATGGGCCTCGGCCTCAGCGCCGGGGGCAGGACCGGGCCGGGGGGAGTTGGGGGGAAGTTAAAACCTGCCCACATTTGTCTCTGTTTTTCCCTTTCTGTTCTAGGGTTTACCTGGTCCCATAGGGGAAACTGGTCCAAAAGGCAGTCGGGTAAGCAGCCTTTCATTTCTCTTTTTCCTCTACTTGTTTTTACCAAAGGCTTATAAGGAACTTTGAGCTTGATCTCGCGAGCACCTTTGGTCAGTTGGATTCAGGGGTCTGAACTGCCCTCACTTGTTTGTTGAAATCCTACTGAATTTTTTTGAATTAAACATGGAATGTTCCAAGACCAAAGTCCACCCCTCGTGCTGATGATACAAAGTCAACCCCTTCAGAGCTCACATTGCAGGAGAGGAATAAATAGCACACAGATTTCCACCAAAGGCTGAACTTCCTGCAAGGCCCATCTCCCAAAGGCCCTGTTAGGTTCAGGGAGTGTGGTTGAGCCACCTTCAGCCATGCTGAACATGGGCTCTTTTGGGTACATTCCTGAGTTTGGGAGTGATTTATATCATTATGCAGAATAGCAAGCCAGCATCTTGAAGCCATGTGCAAATACAAACAAGAGTATCTCAGCCCTGCCAGGTTTTGCTCACCAAATCGAATTGCCAGGGGCTCATTTGCACTGCAAACTATTATTCTTCTTTTTTTTTTACCAATTAAGGTTCTCATTAATCACATATTGTTCTTACCCTGCAATTATAAAGTCACAGCAAGACCCTGAGCCAATAAAATCTCCCCTTCCTCTAACATGTGATACTTTCTCTATGTGCAGTGATTTCAAGCAGCTGGCTTTCATCTCTAGGAAAACTGGAAGGAATAAACAAACTCTGAGCCTGTAGCTGTGTTCCTGAGATGGTGTGTTCAGTGTCCTGCAGGAGAGAGGAGGGTCTGAGATAGCACAGCTTGATCACTTTGCTTCTTCAAGTGATAAAGTTTTCCCTGAGGCATCAATTTCACTGGCCTAACCCGGGCCTGGTGGAACTATCAAGAGGGAGATGTGCAGAATTTAACACTGGAAAATTATTTTCCTCTTTGCACCCCTGAGTGCTGAGGCCTGAGGTATTTGCAGCTGCCCAAGAAAGCCATTTCTCAGTTCAACTGCAGGCCATCAGAACCGGGCACTAGGTGAGATATCTGCACTTGGTGGATTGAGGCAGCCAGCTGTGGATTCTTCTCCATCCTCCACCTCTGCTGGTTTTTCCTTCTGCAGGAAGTATTTCAGGAGTTTGAGTCATTTGTCCCGGGGTTCAGGACGCAAAGGCAGGCAGCATCATTTTCATGTGGCTGTATTTCCCAGCTGGGAATCATCCCTGAAGGAAATGCAACCTAAAGGGAGCAACGGACTGGTGGGGGAAAGAAAGATTTAGTGATGATGGAGAAAGAAAGATGAGAGGAAATCCATGTTAACACTTGGCTTGTGCAAGGAGGAGGTGCCACCGAGGGGGCTCCCTGCTGAAATTCACTTCCTCTTGGTTCTGCGTGTTTGGCACAAATTAGTCCTTTGCAAAGGACCCGCACACAAGGTAACTTTGTACTAACTGCTGAGCAAAGAGGATTAAACACAAGGCTACAATTGTTGCAAGGGAAGGGAAGTGTGGCATTTGTGTCCTGACCAGCAGGACCCCACGGCTGCAGGGAAACCTCCTGTACTTGAAGGTGCAACGCAGGAAAGGAGGGGATTTTATGGGAAATGCGGTGCAAAGGAGGCTGCCTTAGAGCTGGTGAGAGGGTCTGTGCCTCTGGACAAGCTGAGCCTCCTGCGCTGGTCCATAGAGCCTGAGATGGCACCTCAGCCTCTCCCTGCCCAGCAGTGCTCTGGGTGCTTGAGGTGACAAAGTGTTCACAAAAGGTCTTGGTGCTGCAGCAGGGTTTGCAGGGAAAGGCTCTTGGCAGAGCTGTTGCTGGTTTGCTCCTCTCTCAGCAGCCTTGCAGGCCAGGAGAAGGTGGTGATCGTGTGAGAAGGAGCCACGGTGTGAGATCACTGTGTGACATAAGCAGAGAGGCCTTGGTACAACAGGACATTTTCACAACACAATTGGGAATGAGCATGAGAGGCAGGGGAAGAGTCCTTGGAGAGATGAAGGGAGCTGTGGGCATGTGGGTTACTTTTGCCATCACTCTTGCTAACGTTGAACTAAGCTCCATTTCCCCCAGGTGCACTCAGAGCCAGCCCAGGTAAGGTTTCTTCTTGCTGGCCTCTTCCTGCCTGGAGTCCTCATGATCCCTGGTGTGAGGGTATGTGCCCTTGGACTACATCGTGGAAGCCAGCACCATGCAGTCCATGGGCATATACACTTGCCTCAAGGTTTATTTCATCACGGCTTCCATTGACCAGCGCTGGAGGAGGTTCTGCTGCTCAGGAGACACAGACTGACTGTCTGCTCATGGAGGAAGGTATTTGACTACTTGTTTCCTCTTTTCTTTAGGGTTATATTGGACTCCCAGGATTATTTGGGCTACCAGGGGCTGATGGAGAACGAGTGAGTATTTTGTGAAAAAAAACCAACTTGTTGTGTTGCTTTACCACAGTTTTCAGGGCCTGTGGTAACCTTCTCTGACCCTTGTTCCTGAGGAAAGAGGCAAGCATGCCTAATGTTTAGCCATGCCTTTTTTAGTCTGTTCCTGCCCTTGCACGAAGACCTGCCTCCCCATGTGGTGTTGACCACCAGCTCAGGAAAACCAAGGCTTCAGAGAGGGTCATCAGAGCTCATTGCTGAGTAGAGAGGAGCTTCTCTATATTTTCCTTCACTCAAAACCTGCCTTCCTCCTCCCCCTTACTAGTTCATGTTAGTAGGATGGGGCAGGAGGGGAAATGTACATGGAAATACCCTGCTCTCACAGGAGTGACATTTCAGCTACAGTGTCCCAGCATTTTGGGTGTCCAACTGGAGGTGTCTGGAAGGAGGGTGGCTCTTGGAAGGGGCTGACAATGGCTTTCCATCCAGTTGCATCGAGTTGGGCAGTCAAGGCTGGGACCTGTGGACAGGCAGCTGTGGCTGCTGTTCCCATGTGCCCTCCCTACCCCCCATACTTTTCATCATGCCTTCTCCAGACCCATGTGTTCAGAGCTTTACAGCTCCCCTGCTTTTTTGCTCTTCTCCCCATGTTCCCCCATCTGCCTGATCTCTCCCATCCAAGGACCCCTTCTTCCCACTGCAAGAGCTCCTAAGGAAGGTCACTGTAAGATGAAGACTCTTATTCCAGCTTTTTCTGCCTCAAATGCCAGTTCTAGAAACCAGAGAGGCCCCAGGAGTGTGTGGGACTGAGCGTGTGTGTGTGCCTGCCTGGGAGGGGACTGCCCTGCACTCTAGAGTGGCTGATTTAATGCTTGTATAACTAAATAAGAAACATAAATAGAAATTCTCCAGCGAGTGCCTTGGCCTTCATTCTGTTCCAGACCAGTAGCTTAATGACTGCTCCTGCTAAGCACAGCTTCAGCCTGTTGCCCTGGGTGTGGATGTTGCCTGTGTGTGTCCTCAGGGAGGGCCATAGTTAGTGGGTGAAGGTTAATTGTCTTCTCCTCCAGCTGACTGCAAGTAACTGACATTTTGATTCCCGAACAATGCCTCAGTCATTAGCCTGTTTTGCATTCTCCTTTCTCCCCTAGTTTTGTTTTGCATTGTTGGTTGGCTGTTTGCTTGCTCAACCAGACCTATTATTTTTTTTTTCTCTGTGTGTTTTCCTTGCAGGGGATCCCTGGAGTTCCTGGGAAGAGGGGCAAGATGGGTAGGCCGGTAAAGTTTTTCCTCATCCATTATGCAGAACTTGTTGAATGAAAGTGGAAACAAAACATCTGGCTTTTGGCTGGGTCCCTTCATATCTTTTGATGGGAACTAAAAGGGGAGCTCAGACAAACCTTTCCATGTCTCTTTTCTCAAGCAGGAAGAAAACTGAAGATGCAAATATTGTTCTCTTGCATTCTTTCACTCTCTGCCCACCTCACAGTCATTTTTTATCTTTTTTTTTACTCTTTCCATGCTCCCTTTAATCTTGCACTTCTCAGATTCTTTTCTGCAATGTCCTCCCTCTGGCCAGCCTCTTCCCTGAATGAATTTTTAAATTGCCCCCATGATTGCAGCATCCCAAGTGTCTGTGCTCACTCTGTTGCATCTATTGCTCTGTGCTCCCACCACTCCCATCACATTTGCCTCTTTTTGCTGGGTTTCTCTTCAACCCTCATCCCACCCTGGTTTGTATCACATGAATGCACTTTGGAATAGAAAACTTGCTGGTTTTGGTGTTGGTACAGGGTTAAAACAGATTAGATTCAGACACTTTTGAGGTGCAAGGAGATGAAGTAGATTTGAGAGCTTGGCCAGGAGGAAGAGGTGTTTGCAGGCAGGGCTGAATGCAAGGTGGGAATTGTGAGAGCTGCAGAGGAGGAACGATTTGTGATGACTGTAGCAAAATGCAAAATAAAAGCAGGTGGGAAAAGTACTGAAATGAGCAGAGGAAACAGGGCAGGGACAGAAAGAAAAGCCTTTCCCACATCAGCCTTCTTCCAGGCAATTCTATGTGCTTTGTTTGCCAAAATCTGTCAAGTTTCTTGCTCCAGGAGTCAGCAGAGATCAGGCACAGCCGTGACCTGGTGCGTATCGTTGCCTTTACACCTTGTCCTTCATGTTACCCTGGATTTCTCTCCATCTCCTGACACTGCACTCACAGGCTCCTTCTAGAATGTCCACTCACCCACACACGGAAAAATGCAGTGCTTTCCCCTTGTCACCCTTGCATGTGAATGTGTCCTTTCCAGGAGTCCCACGCCTACTGTTTGCTGGTGTTCTCACAGTAACAGCCACGCAAACATCCCTGCAGTGCCACATCCATCCCAGCTGGCTGTTCTTCTCTCCCTAGGACAGGGAGAGGTCGGGTGGATTATTTGGGGGAGGAGATGGTGGAAATCTGTACCAGGTCTTATGGTTTGGGAAGCTGCTGGTTGCACCAGAAACCTCTGTGATGAGTAAGTGCAGAGAGCCAGGAGATGCAACAGTGACTCATGGACCAGAGTAAAACAAACAAAGCAACTGTCGTTAGGTACAGGGATCTGCTCTCTGCCCTGCTTCTGCACAGAGCATGCAGGAGGCTCCAAGCCTTCCAGCTGTTGTTTGGCCAGCACTGGTCATCTTCCAGGCAAGTGTTTTGGTCTGGCGGTCACTGCTACAAACAAGAGGCTCCCCTGAGATCAGCAGGGAACCTCTCATCCATGGAGGCATTCAGGCTGAGGGCTAGGAAAGGGGTTAAGCAGCCCCACGTGAGCACCTTTGTCCTGCTGGGCTCCCAGGTCAGAGAGCTCTGGCTCCATCCCCATCGCATGGCACCAGGTTAAGTAAGAAATCCTGAATGGCCTCACGCTGCTGGTTTGTGCTTCCGAGCGCCAACAAAAAGATTGTGACATCCAGAGTTATTCAGGAAGTGACTGGGAGAATGGAAAGCAGGAACCAGCTGACCTGGTTCCCTTCCCAGCCCTTATCTCCTGGCCTGTGCTGTCTCCCAGCTGGGTTGCAGTGTCTCTGAGCCTGCTGTGAGGTTTCTGGTCTCTCGTAACCCCGTGCTGCTGCTTTGCTGGCACAGCTACTGTTCCTGTTCTATTCTCATGCTGTCGCTGCACTGGGGAGCTCTTGGAGGCCCTAATCAGCTGCCACCCCAAGCTGGTAAATGCTTTGGAGACTGGGGGAGGAATTGGTATCAAATGTATTTATCTACCTCGTTTTGTTTGGGATGAGAGATGGCAACAGCTTCAGTTAAGAGGAGGAGCAGTGGGGCTGGAGGAGTTTGCATGTGACACCGTGGGCCTCTGAGAATGATGTAAGAGGGAATGATTAAAATAGAAGAACTGGACATGAGTCAGATCTTGAAACCCTTCCAGGGAAGTTAGGTTTTGCAGAGCTGTGAGGGACAGGGTGAATCTGTCGTGGAAACAGCTGGCTCCACCTCCTGCTCTGCTCTCCTGGCCGTGCAGCAGCAACACAGGAGGCAAGTGGACTTCTGATGTGTGGACCCCAGTGGGCTCTTGAGCAAGGAGAGGGCTGGGGAGAGAGGCAGGATTAAACTACCATGCACTGGGGAGGCTGAAATAACATCAGTCTGTACGTCTCTGGGTCTGCTGCCTGGTTTAGAGGTAGGCTGGAGGCCAGGAGCTAAAGAGGCTGGTTAAACCTTCAGTCTTGCCAATGTTGTGGCTGAGAAGAATGGCTTTTTGTGGTGTTTTTGTGGATTGTAGTGCCCTCTGGAAGAACGTGCCAAGGCAAGGTGGGGAGATGCCACGTAGCTTGGTGACTGTACAGGAGGAGGTGGAGGATGTGGGACCTGATTCCTCCCTGTGGCATGAGAACTCAGACAAGTTGTTTGGCTGTTCTCAGCTGTGTGCAGAACAGGGGTGACACACTCTGCTCTCCTTTGAGCTCAGTAGCTGAAACTTAGCACGTAAACGTTAAGGATTACTGCTCACATGTCAAGGAAGAGGTGCTATGAAGTGTCAAGTGCATTTGAAGTGTTAGGGATCAGTGCCCAGGGGAGCCCAGCAGCCTCCCTTCCCTCTGCTTGTCAGCCACAGGGGTGGAGGTTGTGAGGGCCAGCAGGGATCTGGCAGCCACTCCAACATGGCCTCGGCATTTGCTGTGAGCACCAGGGTGGTATCAAACTGCAGACCCTGGCACCCATTTTCCCAGCACTGACCACAGCCAGGACCCCCCTCACCAGCTCTCAGCTGGTGCCAGCACCTTCTCACCACTCTTCATGTCTGCTGTCCTCTTCCATGTTGACTCACAAAGTCAATGTCTTACTTCCTGCCTCCAGTGAACACCAAGCCCCAAGATATTAT